CTGTTTCAGATAAGTGCAGAATGCATTGAATATTGGAGAGCTTAACAAGTGCTTTCTTTTGTTCATTTAAAAATGTCTTAAATTTTTCATTAGAGTATAGAATCTTATTTTTTTTATTTTGTACAAGCTGCGCTTTTTTAATTATAATCACTGAAAAATTCACTATAATTTGATTTTATAGAATTTTTGTAGCATTACAAAAATATAGTAAAACTGAGGTTAATACCTGTTGTGGCTAACCATATAAAAGTATTAAATCTTAAACTTGAACAAAAGTCATATTTTTTTTTTTTACTAGATGTTAAATAGGGGAATATTTTGTTCTGCAGGTCATTATCACAAAAGGTTTCTAGGTCAGCTGTGTTACCAGCAGTTTTTCTTTTCCCATTTGATGCAGAAACTATTCTGGTATATGATATTCAGAATTTCATCATTTTTCTCTGTGGGAGTGATGCATACATTTGATGCCATTCGTGTACTAAATTGTAATTTTGGGAATGCTGGAATAATTCCTACCAAGACTGTCTTAATTGTGCCATCTGACATTTGAATGTCATCCTGGTATTAGCTCATAATAAAAGATAAAAATAAATGAGTCAATTGTTCTTTTGAATATCCCTTTTTTTTTGGTCTTGCTATCTAAAAGCTGAACTGCTGGAGAACATTAATATTTGAGTCCACTCCTACTAGACGGTGGATGTTTACTTTGGGTCTATTCTCTTTTTAATATTAACTCCCAACCTGCTCTCACTGTTAATGAAAAAGTGCATCAAACATTGAGGGAGACTACTGTTGTTCTCAGGACAGATGCTTGGGGTTTGGTTGGTTTTTTTTACAATTCTGTTTCTACAGCAGGGGAGCTGCTGTTTCATTTTCCCAGCTTAGAGGGAAATCCTTTACTCTAAGGGGTAAAGGAGGAGAAGTAATTAAGAACAAGGCAAATTACTTAAATATTCTTCCTGCAGATCCTTGATGACATACTTTATGCAGTTCCTATATATGAACTTCTACAGATTGTTCTCTTCTAGATTAACTTGGCTTTGTAGCTGTCTTCAAGAAACAAACTTGAGCTGCCTTAGCAGAAATAAAGGTAATCCCTATTCTATTTTTCATCTTTCACAGTTTACTGGAACTAAATATACTCAACTGCTGAATAAGATGGATGTGAATAGCAATTAAATGCAAATTTAAACATATGCTAATCCCTAATCCAAGTGTCCTTTTTTTTTTTTTTTTTTTTTTTTTAAGGAAGTAGGTAGGCCGTAAGTATAACTGTTGATCTTAATCACTGTCTTTTATGACAGCTTTGAAGGGAAAGGGAGGGAGGAGGAATTCCGCATAGAACTTAAAGGACCTGACAGATGCTAGTTCCGATCAGTCTGTCTTGCTGAGGGCTGGTACCTTCACCTAGGTTCTTGGGCTCTTAGTAAGTAGCTATTGATTGCCATTTGTCATCCTTTTCTCTGTTCTGTTTCCAGCAGAGTCAGACACGTGCTGGATGTCTGTGCGTCTGTGTGTGTGGAAAGCAGGGCAGCTACCCTGGCCTGACTGGGCTTGATAAGGAAGAGTTGCATCTTAATAGCATGATGCTGACAAGCGGATCAGAGAGGATGTCGTTCATGGATGTAAGTTACCCACTTTTTTCCCTCTCTCTGTAACTAAGATAAGAATGACTTGTTTGATTTATGAAGTGTAAATCTCAACTGGCTGATCAGAATATCTTTTTAGTTCTTTGTTTTTTAATAAACCGTGTTTGATAATATTACTGGGTTTGGATAATTTTCACTGGATCATAAAAGAAAAAGTCATCACAGGAAGAGGTCCTATCTCTGACCAGTATTCACCCTTATTCTAGTAAGGCATTGTTACTACTGTGTGGTAGATAATGACCAAAGGATCAGCAACAATCCAGGGTTGACTTAAAGCACTGCCACCGTGTTTTGCTGTGCTCCATAAAATGGTCTTTGTGAGTTTTACAGGCCAGATGATGCTGTCAGGTTCTTGTGTTGATTTTTTTTCTTAACCGCAAGTGTAATACTTCTAAATTAGCTTCATATTTTTTAGTAATAATGCTGGCCTTGCATACAGTACATTGAGGAATTAAGGCATCAATGACAGTATCTGTCTCAGATACTGAACTACTTGTTGAGGTAAGTAGTTTATAAATGCCTTTTGTTCTACAGCAAAAGAATATTTAGTTCAGGTTAATTTCTTTCAAATTTCCCTGCATACTTTGAATGTATATTTGTAAAGTAGCATGTTTCTTGATCTGTAACTACCTTCCTAGTTCATCTTAGGTCTGCCAGTCCAAGCTATTGGTCCTGACGGACCACTTCAGCTTCATGCTGTCACAGAATCAGAGTCTATGATTTTATGATAGAATGGCAAGCTTCCCTCTCACTGTTCCCTGCTGCATAAGCAATGGGGGCTGCTATTCACTCATCTTGGGGATAAGGCAGTAAGAAAGCATACTTGTTTGTCAGATCTTTTCCCTCGGTCTGCAGGGTGGTGGCTCTGTTTTCAGGACAACTGTTTGTACTAAGCAGCTGGTACATCTCAGAATCTGTACCTTCCCAGCTAATATTCCAGGAATGGACTAGGTGATTTAGACCTACTGTTCTAAAAAGATTTTTGAAAGTCTGTCACAGAGTATTGGAATTCTGGTGAATGGCTACCCATTACTGGTAGGCAATGAATTTAATCAATAGTCAAGTATTAGGAAGTACATTTCCTTGCTCTAACATCACGTCCAAGTCTAATGAATTTTAGTTTGTATTTTCTCTGAGAGGATTTTTTAATTAAAAAGTGACTAAGCTGTTGGCATTAGCATTTCAGGAAAAGCTAATCCCAGGTAAGTTAAACAATTTTTATGTTGCCCAGTATTTTAGAAAGGGTTGGTTATTACATCTACCCTTACAAAGCATGTATTGGGCTTAGTCACACATTTTACTCACACAAGCAAAGCTTTTTTCAAAGGTGCCATTTGTTGACTAAATTAAATACAGCACTCAGATTGTTTACACAGTACTCACACAATACTTGTATGAAGAAAAAACCTTAAAACACTCTTTAGCTAAACTCTATGTTCATGATTAAGTTTAGGAAAGTCTGAATATGACTGTGTAGCCAAGTGAGCTGCCGAAGTCTCTGTGGGCCCATCAGAGATTCAGAATCCAACCTTAAGTTCCCCCTACTCTTTTTTTGTTCCTTAACTGATTCAGTTCTTGTCCATCTCTCAAGGGAAGTTCAGCAGCAGCCTGAGTATCAGCACTGATGAAATGTAAATAACAAACAGTTCTCATCTTCTATGAACTTCAAATGCAAGCTAAGGCGTAGCTAGATCTCTCCGAGGAAACAAAGAGCAGTTTGTTCCGACTATAGCGGAGATAGAGGCACAAGCCCATTAGAGCACAGCTCTGGCTGTGGCCAAGCTCTAATTCTTCCCTGCCACCCTCAGGACTGCTCTAACACCATTCATCTGCAGATTCTCCAAACTAAGTACCTCACCTGCTGGGAAAGGCTTCCATGAGAACCAGTCTCTTCTACTGCCGTAAGTTTCCAATTACAGACTTAGAAGCTTTTGCCTCTTTTCTTTAAGCTGGAGTCTTTTTTTCCCCAGTCACTCAGATACCATGGTGGAACAATCATAGGGCACATTTACTCTGAACTGCAGTAAACTTGAAACAAAAATACAATTAGCATGCTATAGCAAAACCCAGGCTGAACATAAAATGATACCTCTTAGCTCAAATCTTCCATCTCATTAGATTTTTATTCAGAATACTGAATTCTACTAATAATACACTTTTAGCTGTACCTTTAAGGGCCCGCTCCCATCATGCCCTGTCAGCCCTATAAATCTGGCTGTGTCAGCTGCAACTTTATAGTACTAGTCACTGCCTGGCAATTTGAGTTGCTACATCATTCATCAAGTAAGTGTTTAACTTTTTAATTCTGTGTTTTCCCTAATTTAGAAGTTTCCTAATGGTATTCAGTTAAGACAAGCTCAAGTTAGCTTTGCTGTAACAGAGTAATTTGAGTGCTTTTTTTAGTCTTATCTGAATAGCAAGGTGAAAAAAGACAAGCAAGTTAAAAAAAAAAAAAAAGGTGAGACTGTATGTAAGTTAGCTCTGTAATTAGCATAAAGACTAGTCACGAATAAGGTGGAACATTTGGAGGTTTTTTGTTTTTCGGAGACATTAGTTTAACAGGAAAAGTATACCTAGCAGTGAGCTGTTGTTATGTGCTTTCATGTAAGTTAATACTGAAACAATAATGATTCTTGTTTCTTTATTCAACATGCACCAAACAAATAGATTTAAATGCATTTATTCTCTCTGATTTTTATGCATACTACAAATTGCAAATATAGTATAAAATAGATTCTCCCCTGTAAGAAAATCTGGTTCCTGTTATGACAAAAATATAGCTTAAAGATTTGTTTTAAAAATACCAACTTTATAAAATGCTAAGTAAAAAACTAACATCAGTGGTTGGTTTATATGTTAAGCCAAAAATCCATTAGAAGTCTACAAGAACCTAAAGGGGAAATGTCTTATTCTTGTGGCTTACCTCCAGATACAGTGAGAAATAGTTGCTGTTACAGGTGCATGAATAAGCAGCTGACTTCTGTGATCTATTGGGCTAACATTAAAGGACCTTTAATGCCAAGTGTGACAAGTAGCTCTAATTCTCACTGTAGTCCAGAGTATAAAATTTGCTCATAATCTTAATAAAACTGGTAGGTTGACCTTTTGGGTTGAGTCATGTTAGAAGGATAAATACAATTTAGTACAGTCTGGAACTCTACTTAAAGTTTTAAATAAAATGTTGAATTAAGAAGCTGCTGCAAGAAGTAATGCAGCATTTTTCAAGGACTTGATTGTTTCCTACAAGAATCACAAGAGAAGCAATGCTGGCTTTTCTGCATTAATTCTGAAAACTTACTTTTCTATACTTAAGAAGGTCAAGTTAACATTTTCTGCGCTGTTTTAAATACTGGAAACTCGTTTCTTGTGCCATCTACAATTTAATCTGCAGTAAACTGAAAAACCTCAGCTTGAACAAACAAACTGTAAAACAAGTTGTTTGACATGCTTTAGAAAATCTGTAGATGCATAGATGTAGCTCCATCCTTCCACTTGTTAACATGGTCTGAAATAACAGTTCTGCAGAGTGGACACGTTTTTTCTCTATTAAACCATAAAGAGATGCATTCTTCACAAAATGTGTGCTGTAATGAAAAGAATGAGAACTTAGAGCTTCTAAGCTCTTCCATTTATAAGACGGTATATTATTTGCATAGCCTGATTTCTAAAAATAATCAGAAGACATACACTTGCTAATCTAACTTTATGTAGTTTTGTTTACCAGTTGTTTAAAATATTCTGAGGTTTGCAAAAAATAATTCTGATTGTGTGTATTACCTGACAGATAAGTAGAACAGGCTTCTGAAATTCAGCTTGGCAGATTGAACAAATATCATCCGATTCAGAACACTGTCTCTTGCTAGCTGTCACCCCATAGTGCTGTAAACGAGATATTTTCAGCAGATAATAGTTTCGGGGGGTAGGGGAGGGGCAAAACAAAACACAAAAATACCAGGACAGAAAGGAATTAGGAATAAGGGCTGCTATGTTAGGAAAACTATTAAATCCCTAATCCAACAAAATGTTGTTAAGTTTTTTAATAGTTGTCTTGGGGCCTAAAGCTTATGTGCTCCCACTTACCATGCTGTCTAGTTAGTATCTTCCCCTGATCACAATTACTGGAAAAATCTGTATCAGTTTTATTTTAACAGTGACCTCTGAGCAAAACACTGTGTCAAGTTCCAATTTGACCAAGACAGCACTTAGGAAATGAGAAGTGCTTTGTTACTCTTTTAGTTCAATGACACTGTGCTCCAAAATCTCCTATACGTTTTACTGCATGAATAGCAGACTCCAAACAATACCTCTTACTACAGAGAAAGATTATCTAGAAACTTACAATTGTAACAGAAGTTACTTGCATGTCAATTATTTTGGTAAGCTTCAATTCTCACTTATTTCAGCATAAAGCTCTGCCTGCATCCAACCAATATTTATTACAGTTAAAAAGTAGGAAGCAGGACAAAAAAGGTGTGTTATTTCACATACATTTATCTGAAGGGACATGCAGAATAGACTTTTTGGTTTTCTTTTCTGTTTTTTTTTTCCCCAGATGACAACGTAATCGCTAGTCAAGGAATTCAGACTGTGAAATGGGAGAACAAGTATACAGGGTTTACTTTAAAAAATGCAGTTGTCTATTGCTAGAACAATACCAAGTAATATAGGAATGAGGTATTTAAAAAAAAGAAGTATTTTCAGGTAAATTGGGTTTATTGTTTTGTCATAAGAGAATTCAGTACTCACTGGTCGTGTACAAAATATCCGTAAGACCTGCCTGAAGTTTCTCAATTGTCCAAAAAAGCTCAAAAGCTGAAATGGGAAAGAAAACCTGAGTTATGCTTAGTATTTTTCTCTGTGAATTAAAAAGCTTCCAAGCTTTTGTGCAGATTCCAACGCTAGAAGTCTCACTGCTAGTCTGATGTTGGCAGGAACATAAGGAAAGCTATAGCTCAGACTGACCCTATTTTAGTTGCTTAATATATAACCAAACTAAGAATTTAGCCTGAAGTTTTATTCCCCAGTAGGTGTCTGTTCTTTAAAACAAAAATAGTGTTGAGGTTCTCAAATGAAGCACTACAGTGCAAATACACCAGCATTGTTATCATATATGCAAGTCTTTAGACTTGTAATTAAGATAGCTTAGCATTATAAAGTATTTTTCGTGTTCAAAGTCAAACTTGTACCGAGTCTGGTTACATTTGGGGCAGATGTGCTCTTTGGTGAAGTAGACAGCCAGTATGAACACTTACATTTAACTCGTTTAGCATCGCACAGGATACTCTAGCAGAGAGAAAATCTAGTTTCCTGGAAAATGCTGATTCTTTTAGCTATTAATTTTACCTTTATTTTTGCAAGCTCTCTTCCTCAACATCTGGTAACAGTCTGATCCGTGTCTGATGTGAGGGGACCTATAGTAACAGTGTTCTTTGCTATGCAACCTCAATCCATTCCTAGACCAGGTGCAGCAAAAAGATTCGGTGCCCTGAGTCAGTGTTCCTATCAGTTTTGGAAGGCTTTATCAGTTAAACTGAAGCATTGACTTGCAAGTCAGTTCAAACACAGGGGAACACTTAGAAATGTGTTAGTTTATGTGCCTCTAACCCTCCAGTGATAATTACTGCAAAATAGTTTGAGAGGAATATAAAGCTTACATACTTTTAGGATGAGGTAGAGAAGGCCCAGCAATATCCCCAGGGTCCATCCTAGTACACTGTCCAGCTCCCCATAGCCAATAAGATAACGGAACCAAACTGGTATGGGGACAAACATACGGTAATACTGGCAGAGTTCTTCTAACAGCATGTACCAGTAGCCCTAAGCAAGACATGCAAAGGAATCGCTCAAGATTTAAAACACAAAGGGTTTTTTTAAGATATAGAGAAAAGATGCATTGTTATTGTTTTGAGTAACTTCCTCTCATAATATCTTGAAACAACTAAATATGAAGCATGACAAAGAGTGAAGACCAGATGATGAGTCTCACCACAACAGCACAAATAACAATAATACCACTGATTGCTGTAGTGCAGAAAAATCAAATTAATAGGCTAAAATAGGATGGCTTTGTCAGGTGCCTACCTACTTAACAATGCTATCAGACTTAATTTCATAAGCATTAAAAAAGAAAATAAATGTTACATGAAAAAGGGAAATAAGACAAATTTGGTCACGTACATCAGCTTGTCATTAGCAGAGTTGTGTCCTGCATTGAGGATTAAAAAATGAGGGTAAGGCCCATTCTTTTATTAACAAACATAAGGTGCAAACTGTTTTCCTGTAAACATTATTTCATGCCTGTGTAAGAAGCCTTATCTTGTGATAATTAACTCCTATATAGGATGGGTTGATAAGAAAATGGTGGTGGTAGGGGGAGAAAGAAGCACAGGGTAGCTGGACTGAACAGGTAAACAGAGTTCAATGACACCCTAAAAATTACTGAATAACAACTGCAAAGCACAGGTGTCCTGCATAGAGCACTGTGTGTGTGTGCATGTATAAGTATTTAGCTTAGCTTTTACTTTATTTTCTTAAGTTTGTCTTTAAAACTAGATTCATAACAGGGAAGAAGTATTCTTTCTATAATGTACACTGGATAATGCCATGATTTGCCATTGTTAACCAGATTCTCTCTTTAATTTAGCCACAGTTTAGGTCACAGTGGGTGTAATGGAATTTTCAACAGTTATTTTTTGGATGTTGTATCACTTTAAAAAAAAAGATCTTGATTATAAACTGGTATTTGGAGAAATTGATTGTCCCTGAGAAAAACTTTGTCCTGATACGTTTGAAAATATAAAACCTACCAAAACATACTGGTCAAATACTATCATGTAAGAGCTGTACTTGTTCGTTTGTTTGGTTTTTTTTTTTGTTGTTTTTTTTTTTTTTTTTAACCAGTACTACTATTTGCTATTTTGACATAAAATTTAATTGTTTTTTGCATGTCTCACCTTGGGAAGCGGATAAAACATAAATACCCCACCAACCAATGTAAGTTTCTATAAAAATCATTAAACTTCACTGGTTTGAGGAATTAAGCTATGAATCAAATTCATTGATCTGAGACAAATATTGCTTAAGTTTATTAACAAAAAGAAAATCCAGAATTATTTTGGAGAGACAGAAAATACAGCTGTTTGCACGTGCAGATCTTAAAGTCTTCTCATGTCAGTTACTGTCGAGCATGTAAAAAATTTACTGTGCGTCAGCTGCTCTGTGCTAACAGCCTGTACACACATTCTTACATTGCAGCAAATAAAAGGTTTCTTCATCCCCCCCACTTAGAGACAGAAATAACCCATTTATCTGATGACATAATACAAGCAATTGTTTCAGATCAGACTGTAAACCTTCCTTAGCACCAAGCAGGGAAGAAGATGAAATCCACAGGGCTTTCTCACCCACAGTGTCGTGGTGGATTATATACCGACCTTTAATTAAAAAGCCTTTTCTCTGGGTAAAATGTAATAATTAGCTAATTTTACTGTAAAAGGATCTTCATAAGGTAGCAAAAACATAGCTTGTTTTCTTACCTTGGATTTAAAGGACATCATAAAAGAAGGCACCAAGAGAACAAAGCACTTGAAGCCCATGAAGAGGAATTTCAGGATAAAGTCTGTGACTCCCACAGTCCAAAGTACCTCCCAGAAGTTCATAAAATCCACAGTAGGGTTTAAAAAGATTAAGCTACAAAAAGAATTATTAGAAGTTACCGGAGCACCCTATTTAGAGGAAAGCATAACGAGAGATTATCACGGCATAATCCTTAATTAAAAAAGGTAACCTGGTTTACATAGAGGAAAAATATTTTCTAAGAAAATGAACTCTTTATTGCAAATTGACTGTTTATGATCTCTGACCTTTCAATTTTTGAACCTTCCTTTCTGTATCTTCACCACAACCCCCATCCTCTAGAGGTAGGCTTTCTTTCCCATTTTAGCGATACAGCCTTCGACTGATTTACAGCCAAGACTGTAGCTACAGAATGGTAAGGGAATAATAGGAAGCTGGAGACGTAAACTCCACAGAGCCCCAGAATGCTATATTCAGTATTCCAAAGGCAAAGTGTGAGGGTCAAAGCTAGGAATTAAACCCAGCTACATTCCTGATGGTACAGTAGTACCATTAAGTTGAGTATGGGGTCTGATCTTGCAAATTCCAACATAATGTTTTTAAGGACAGCACCTGTTCAGTTTGGCAGAAGAGGAGGACTGGAGATTAAAATGAAAGAGAAACCAATGCCACAATTAAAGAAAAACAGCAGCAGCCCAGATACAATGTTCCCACTTTATATTTGAGTAATTTATGATGTGAGTAGAGATGTTCCTCTACTTACCTGTAATACAGTGACTGAGAATGAAAGGTGTAATACAAGAGGAGAGATGATCCAGTTAGGTATACTAGTAACCAAGCACATTGCAACTTGGAGCACCGTTCCTGTAAGATAATCGTAAAGACCTATTACAGTCCTTATCTCAGTATCAGTGTCTTAAATACATCTCCAAAGCATTAAGTCTCTTGCACCTGAACAGAGTTTTACTACTAGAGGATTTTATCTTAGTGGTTTCAGGTCAAATAAAATAGGAGAACTCAATGGAAAGGTAAAGCAGTAATTTTAATGTTTTCAGCGTAACAATTTCTATGTGCATGAAGGTTTTTTCTAAAAACACAACCAAAACCCACCCCACTCTGAAGAAACAACAAATTTTCCTTTGGCATTGAACAGAGACAGCTGAAAGTTTAAACTGTCAACTGCTGTTTGAGTCCACAAATATAGTCAAGTTCTCCCATAAATTCCAAAAGGCTTTTATCAGTTGAAGTGATTTCAATATTCAAAGTCAGAGGGGGGAAAAAAATCCCCTCTTTTTAGATTCTGCAAACCTTACTTCTCTGTGAAGCTCTACAGTGTACAGTAGCATTAAGACTTTATTTTCATCTTGAAACCTTGACACCTAATATTATTAGGTAACTAAAACAGTATCTCCATTCACATTTCTTTCAAAAATTGATGGATAAAGGTCTTGGTTAACTTACAGAATTTTGTTGCATAGGGTGATACTTACTCTTAGAAAAACCTGATTTACTATGCTTTTGTTTGCATACATATAAGTTGTTAGCAGCCCAATTCCAAGAGAAATGCCTATTAGGAAAAAAGGGTCAGTTATACACAAGAAAATAAAAAAAATTACTGAACTGGGTTAAAAAAAACAGCCACTTCTAATATGTCTTTATAATTACAATTAATAGCTTGGACTATCAAGCCAAAATAATTAAGCACATTGTACATACACCAGCAAAGGAAACAGAAGCCACTGAAACGCAGTTTACTAAATCTCTCTTTCTGATGAATAAAGCAAATAAAAATAAAGCTAAAAATAAATTGAATTATATTTCAGGCACGGTTATTAGCGTATCTCTTTGGGGGGAGGGTCTGTTCCCTCAAACCTTATTTTGTTATACTCTACCAATTATATGCTGCATGATCAATTTGACACACAGAATCAAGATATACGGCAGACTTTTGTGCAGCCACTGGAAGAGGTGTCTGAGCTCTGAGAAGGAGCTGCCGCTGTGTTCCTCCGAGTCTGGAGCAGAATCATCGAGCCCCCCTGCATCGCTGTGGGCATGTCCGTGTGAGCGACTTTGGGAACCTGGCCTCGAATGCAGGGAACTCGCGCTTTCTCTGGCCTCTCCCACAGCAGAGTTTAGCTGTATGCGAACATCTCCGCTGTGATGGCATGAGCTCTCTCCTGACAACCTTGCTGCGTGGGCACTCTGAGAAGATGAAGAGTCATCACCACTCCCTTGGATGTTGTGGAGATGACTGCAATTTGGTTGCATGGTGGGATTTTTTTTCTGGTCCAGATTCTTGCTATTTTGTCTCCTAGAGTGGGATATAAAGAGTCACAGTTGAAGGAAGAACTAGGTTGGGGGGGGAGGGGGACAGGGACGGGACCCAACAAAAAACCCAACACAAAAATACAATAGACTGTACTGAGTGATTGCCTGCCTGAAGTAAAGATTCTCTTTCTGCGAGATACTGTCTTTGTTTTGAAAGCTGGCGTGCTGGGTTTGCGTGCTGTCTCCACGGGGCAGCTTTGTGTGTGCCATATTAAATTACTTCCTTTCATTCACGTGCAGATTTTCTAGCCTTTAGTGAACCTGGCTGCCTTGGTAAAATCTAAAATTGCTTCAGTGCAAATCAGAACAGCAAAAGCTGCTGAACAGGAGACCAGCACTAGCTTGTACAGAAGAGATCTTAGAAGTGCTGCATAATTTCACAAAAATAGTAACAGTAGTAGGCCAAAGAAGGAGCAAACAATGATGGGAAGGAAGCAAAGAGTACATTTACATGCATCCATAAAATGGTAAGCATTTGTTCAGGCAAGTCTAGTTGAAAGCCAGTGCATGCTCAAAATTGAGGGCCATTATGAGATTAACGAGATTATCCTGTCTGGGTAAGTGAGCAGAACCAGGTTAGCCTATTTTGTAAGAAGCATTTAAAAGAACCTGGACCATATGGTCTAGGTGAAAAAAGAAGTGCAGACAACAAGCAGTAATCTTAACAGTGGAACCACCCAAATGAGGTCTTATTTATCTTTTCCTTTGGCATCTTTCTGTTGTCTTCCTGGGCAGCTTTTCACTTCTGTGTCAGTCTTTACATGGGTCAAATAGTGTTAAATTCGACTTCTCTGGACGGGTGTGACATCAGAGTAACGACTTCGGGGAACGCTTTGAAGCTGGATTTGGCACAATACCGTGTCACTATTGAATAATATTATTGAAACACTGGAAATTTTATAATCCAATAATTCAAACTCTTTCACATTCCTCTTTGAAATGACTTTTTCCAAAGGTTAGCATCTATACACAGCTAGCTTCACTGGGGATACAAAGAGGTTGAAGCAAAATCGGGTTTGCACCACAAGAAGTTTTTAATGTATTTGCACAAACCTAGACTTCTTTAGCCTTTGAAATGGAGATTACATCAGAAGAGTGAACTGCACCGATTTAAACAATATATGAATATGGGAACTTACTACCATTTGGAAGGGCTGCTGCTGCTACTACTATATTTTTGTTGGCCAAAGATTACGTCATACTGCGATCCAGCCAAAATTCATATTCGGTAATTTTATGCACATGAATAAAGCAAATAAACTGGAGATAGTATTGACTTGTATGAGCAGTATTACTCAGTGTGCCTGTAGGATCGGGCCACGAGTGCCGTTTTTAAAAGGAGGGGAATTAAAAAAAAAAAAAATCTCATTAGCACTTTTCAGTTAGTGGCTTAGGGCCCGCTTCTGCAAAAACCGGCAGCTCGGTTTTTAAAAAAAAAAAAAAAAAAAAACAACAAAAAAAGCGAGCGATCCCATTGTTCCAGCAACGCAGCTTGCCTTGGCACTCTGCCTAACAAACTTTCAAATAACTAAGTTATTAACGGGGATTTCACAGCGTAAGAAATCCGCACCCAGCGGACGGCTTCCAAAATTTCTTCCCCCCCGCCCCGCATGAGATAAAATGAA